CACATGTTTTTTAGTACGGTGCCATTTTTTTTTTAAAAGCATTGGGTTAAACCATTTAAATCACAACTAAGGCACATGATAGTTTTTTTGGACAATAATCTACATGAACCACATAAAACAAAATCAAAAGAGAGAAAGATGAGAGCATATCATATTTAGCGATCGGATTTGTATCTTAATTACTAAAATGAGGTGCTAGTCATGTTATTTGCATCAAAATCCATATATACTACGAAATCATAAAAATTAAACATCTATTAAAACAAACATTTTCATGAACCATGATGAGATCAATTGTTTCATATCCTCCTGAAGATAATTTGAATTTTCGGAGTAATTTAACTCTAATTCTCTATTCATTGACAAATGGATTCAAGTTGCTAATTTTGAACAAAGACAACATGTTGTTTTTTCGGTAGAAGAAGTGTTTCTTGTTTTATTTTATTTTGTGATGAAGAGGCCATACACATTGATTTATATAGATAAATATACCTCGAACCGCATATTTTTTATGCCGAGAGAATCATTTGTGAACATATCATTTGTTTGGTAATCAAATATTTTTAGATAAGGTGAAATAAGATATTATCGATTATACTGATTTAGTTAGCAATCTTGAATTAATTGTTTGAAAACATTATTTAAAATAGAGGCATCGAAATTTTTAGCATTATTATTTACTTTTTTTGTTAGTGTGAAATAGATTTTATTAGTTGATTGAAATCTTAATTTTTGTTAGGTAATATTTTTAATGATGGTATCTTATTTCGTAAAACAATAAAATCATAACTAAGATAGTTATTGTTATATATGTAAACAAATTTTCTTGTTGTATGGAAATAATAAATTTGACTACTCTTTTATTGTAATTGTTGTCAAATAATTGAACTACCTGGTGTATTTCTCGTCAAAGAAAATGAATTTGATTTTCTAATTTGGTAATTGTTTCTTTAATTTGTGCAAACCTTAGCACAACTATTTCCCTGATATTATTCCAAGCATTTTCAAAAGCTTTAGCGTGATTATCCCACAGAGAACAGACTAAAAGAACACCACTGCATTTTATTTGACGACAACATTAATTTCAACTTAAAACAAAAATGAAGAACGACTAATTATCTTGAATATTGACTTACTTTTTGTTACGCATTTTAATTCGCATGGTTCTCATACGTGGTCCAAATAACGCTGAGTTGATTCTTGTTGTACACCAACAGTCACAACTTCACCAATTAGATCTATCATAAATCACAAAAATGAGTTAAACTAATAAGATAAATAATCATCTATATATTATGACAAAACCAATGATACGCACCAATCAAGTAAGATGGATCTCTTTGCGCCGTCAATGATTTCTTCAAAATTTGCGAAATTGAAATGAAGGCTCTCTGACATCGGAGGAGCATCAAACACAATAGTGTCACTTTTAAACTTAATTTTGAAAAGGTGTGAAGTTGTCATGATATTGTTGTTTGCAGAAATTAAGTCAAAATTTCTGATAACTTTCCATCTTGAACCACCATTTAGTCTAAACTCATATTCTTTTGCAATGGTGTTTTGAACATAAGTTTGGATCTTATCACCCTAAACAATAAAAATAGGAAACAAATATATTAGTTAAACTATCACAGGAAACATACTTAAGACGTAGAAAGTAGTYGTCTAACKTTTTCATCAGCTAATACCATTTCGAGAYATTCACCATGTATATTTGGTTGTCTCCAAAAACTCAGTATTTTAACACATATACACCAATTAGTTCGATCGGAGTTTAGATCGGCGATATTGTCTATGTTTGACATGATACTTTGAAAAGAAAAATATGGATTGTATTTGTATGTAATGGTTGATATGATAGATAAACTAATCTCCATTATATATACACATGCATGCCTACAGTTACTTCAGTTGTAGTTGTTAAGATATCATCGTACATTCTATTTTATGAAAAAATATAATATAAAATATAATGGAAGTTATAGAATAAATGAAAGTTACAGAAACAAACCAACTCTTATTTTAAAATCCATTTGTTTTGTTTTTATATTATACTACAGATTAATTCATTGAAATAGGCAAATAACCATATAAATTTTATAATCCTTAAAATATTTTTATAGATTTATGTTCGGAATATTTTTAATAATATTCTTAAACCAATTTCATAATTAGTCATTGAAATAGCCATATAAATTTCATAATCCTTAAAAGATTTTTTATAGATTTATGTTCGGAATATTATTAACAATATTCTTATAATTTCAGTTTGTTGATTTAACAAACAACTGTTTATTTGCAGGTCCACTTTTTATGATTTTATAAAATATACTATATATTTAATCATTGAAATAGCCAGAAATATAAAAATCRTTTAAAGAGTTCAATAGATCTACGAACTAATCCTAAAACCATTAATTGATGTTTTTGGCTATTCTTAAACCAAATGAAACTATTTGCATTATTGTTTGTAGTCATCAAACCAATATGGGAAAGTCACCGTCCGTCAATATACATAATTATCAGACTTTTTTAAAACATACAAATAGTTAATTAAGAAGAAAATTACACATCACGCATCAGTTGCACACACTTGGTACATTATTATGCTCCCACGTGTCACTGTGTAGCACTTTGGCCATTCTCTTGTCGAGAGACTCTTCAATTTATATCACTTTGCCATAGTGTAGAAACATAGTTAAATTTATTTTAATAGAATTTTGAAAAAGTGGTCGGTGACGGTGCGAGCCTATGGCTATGGATCGTAATGTTTTTTGTTTGAAAACAAACCAACTAAATGAAATTTTATTAAAAAAAAAAGATTATTCGAAAGAAGAAGGTAAATAAATGAAATCACCATAAATCCTCTTAATTAAAATAATAAAAGATGTTTAGAAATATTTTTTTTAGGTTTATTGTTTCAATTAATTAGTATAAATTTAACTCATATCATCTTTTTGACAAACCATGTCATATTTTTGAATTAATGAAATTAAAACAATTAAACAAACTTAATAAATCTACTTCTTAGGAAGTGGATTTAGCAAAAAGGGTTTGTTTCTTTTAAGGTTCGTTCTCACCTCCTTTCAATAGAAGAAACATTTTGATCTCTTCTAATATCGTTTCAATTCACAACCAAAATTCCCAAGTGGAGAATTATGTTTTTTTTAAATTTCTTCTCCTACTTGGTTTGCATTCTTTAGTGCCAAAGAATCATTTGTGTTCTTACACACCGTCTTTTTGTTCACCATTCTCCGTTTGCATTTTAAGATCTCTTCTAGACGTTGTGTTCCCAAATTTTGATCTCTATTGGATTTTGTCTTCCTTGGCCGGTCAGCCTCTAGTATTGTTTGATCCATTGGAAAAACTTTAAATTTGTCGATATTTGTTGGTCATTAATTATAGGAATAAACATGGAAATATCACTCTGGTTTGGAGATGGGTATTGTCGATATCTAGCTCTATTTTTGATCTGAATCGGAAGATCCTAAAGCGAA